ATTTCTGATTTTGTACTCCAAGTTTATCATCATAACACCCACTTGTTGGGGTACATCATAAAAATTAGGTTCTACCATTTTTACAAATGATTATTAGGGTTTGGTTCGCAGGAATCTCTTAGAATTATGGGGAATTGAAATTTAATTCCATCACTTTTCCATGTTTGGTTTAAATTTTTCAAGGGGAATTGAAATCGCTTATGACTTTAACTTTCCATCAGATGAGGAAAAGTGAATTCCATCTATTTTATGATAGAATTCAATTCCCTTGTTGGAGGGAATTGAAATTTGACCATACTACCCTCATCAATCTTTTGGTAACTTATTCATATATTGAATAAAAATATTTTTTTATTATTTCGGGTGGGGTGGGGTTGGGTTTCTAATTCATATATTCGGGTCGGGTCGGGTGAAACTTTACTTTGGTCGGGTCGGGTCGGTTTTTTTTTAAGTGTGGTATTCGGGTCGGGTCGGGTCGAGTTTAGGGTGAAAAATACCCGAACTGACCCGGAAAAAATATATAATTTTACCTTATATATTTAAGAATAATTACAATAATACCCCTATATATATATTTTCAATTAAGTCACTGTTTTTATTGAATAATTTTTATTATTATTTCGGGTCGGATTTTTAATTCATATATTCGGGTCGGGTCGGGTGAAACTTTATTTTGGTCGGGTCGGGTCACGGATGGAGGTTCCCTTGTTCTCGAGTCGGGTCGGGTGGACCAAAAACCCAACCCGACTCATGGCCATCCCTAATTGGGATGATTTTAACTTATGATGTTTTATTAGTATACTTTTTATAATTTATTGAAATAAATAATCAATCAATAAAATTAAAATTTAATATTTTTTAAAATTTTATAATATATTGCTACATGTAATTTATAAAACAAACTAAAATTAAGCAAAAAAAACAAGATGGGCAATCCTGTCATTTTACATTACTGAAATCAAATTCATCTGACATGTATGCGAACCAAACAAAATATGGAATTTGATTCCAATTCAATTTCCTGCCAACCAAACAGAATATGAAATTGGATTCAAATTCCTGACAGATTCCAATTCCTTCACAGATTTCAATTCCCTCCGAAACGTTCCAGCGAACCAAACGCCACCTTAATATTTATTTTTTGAAACATTTTAATTTTATGTATTTAAAATTTTGATAAAAAAAAAAGCAATGACATATGAAAATATTTAGTTAATTAACTATCAAGTGACTTGTTAACATGATATTTTTACTATAATTGATGATGTAGTACATGTCATGCGATCACTTTAAAGGACGAGATACGCGCCACATCATCATTTTAGGTAATGATATATGAGTCACATTCTCACTTTAATAACGTGACATTTGGTGATGTGGCATCTAATATATCAACAATTAAGCATCTATAAAATTATCACGTAAAAATATATATAGATCGTTAATCAATTAATGATTCTCATCGTAATAGTTATTTTATTCTTATGCATAAAATAATACCCAACTTGCCGGAAGTGCTTAAAAACCCTAAACAAATGCATGGTTGAAAGTGAGGGAATAAAAAAAAAGGGAGAATATGCACATTGTCCCACCCACCAACTTGTTTCAAAAGGCCAATAGAATTGACCACCTTTTATTTATTCGTTGTTGTAAAACCGTCGATAAAAGAGAGAGAGATACCCTTTTTTTCCCAGGTAAAAAGGTGAGAGAATCTGATCATGGTGTTCTTTCTTATAGGAAGAGGCCCAAGTGGAGATCACATGAGAGAAGAGAGATATACGTATTTAAAGGAGATTTCAGCTGAGTTTGGGTCAATCTTGTTTCCTCTGTGCATGTGAATGACATGGTACGGCACACAAAAGTATCCCAATTTTGCAGTAGAGAGAGAAGGGCATTGAAATCTTGTGGTAATTATTTTATAGTGGTAAATTTGACCCACTCGAGGTCAAACAACAAGATTTACGCTGCTGTAACTCATCAGGAACTTGAACATTGATGTAAATTTACTGATTCATTCCAATATGGAAAATGCCCTTCAAAGCTGCTCATTGTTACCCACAATTCAAGGACGGGTTTATGACTCTATGTTAGTGGGATAAACTTAAACTTAAGGGAAATTAAAATTTTGGGAGTCGAAAATATATTTTTAATAAAAAATATATAATTTTTTTTAAAATATATGATAATTTTAAATTTTCAGAGGGTAACTACCCTAGCCGTCTCTCGTTCATCCTTGCCACCATGCCAGGATCTGCTCTAAACTTTTGGCAACTTTAACATTCAAAGGAGATTTTCTCAAAAACTATTTTGGATAAAAAAGTCAAAGGTATGTAAAAAAGGGGGGCTTATTTGGAAAGTCATAAAGTAATTGAATTTGAATATATTTGTGTTTAATTACAAAGATGCATTAGACTTGCATGAACTAAACGATCTCAGTAATAAAAAAAATATTAGTTATTTCTAAAGGTCGTGAGTTCAAACACCAATAATTGTAGCAGGATGATCGAGAATATTAAAACAAATATTACTTTATAATCCTCTTAACTTAATAAAAAAATACATTATGTTTTAGATAGTTTTCGAAATAATTTATTATTAATGATCGAAAATATTCGAAATAATTTATGATAAAAATATACATTAAAAATATATGTCCATAATTATGGGTTTTAATCAAATAATTTGAACTTTTAAATCTTAAAGTTAATTTATTTCTGATTTTTTCAAAAATAAAAGAATTAATGGGTAAATTACTTTGATAGCATATATATATAAATATGAGATGAATAAGAAGTTGATATATATACAATCACTCCCAATTATATTTTTATATACACAGTGCTCAAAATTAAAATAACAACAAATTTCTTAATCACTAATATCATTTCATTCGTACAACTATTCGGATAGTCAAATAATCGAATGTTAGATAATAAACACTGCTACGACAAATTACTCCCGTATTTCAATATCAATTTTGGTCTGTTTTATATTTTAGTATCTAAATTTTTAATTTTTTTAAAACCATACATAAAGTTTAATTTTAGTATCCCGCTGTTAAAAACTTTAGTTTTTGTTAGTACTCGTTCAAAATTTGACGTTAAGTTTAAAGAAAAATGAAAATTTAGGTACTAAAACAGACAAAAAATTGATAGTTTAAGTGCTAAACGTGCAAAAATTTTCATGGTAGGTACTATAATAAAATGAAACTAAACATTAAGTATGCTTTTAAAAAAATTAAAAATTCAAATACTAAAACAAATCAAACTAATAATTTAAATATTAAATACATAATTTACCCTAATAATAATAATAAGAAATAAACTGAATTATCTCAAAATTCCAAAAAGAAAATGGGGATAAGACAGGGGGAAAAGAATTTCAATCAAACTTCCATAATTTGATTGTGATAGGCACTGCACTAATTATTGCTCTCCTCTTTCCTGCACTATTTTTTGAGTTTATCCTTTTATCCGATAATTTTTTTTTATTTTAAACTTTATATTGTGAAAGAGACCTTAACAAATGATAGGTTTAAAGTTTTAAATTTTTTTATTATAAAATATTATATTGTGAAAATGATTATATAAATATAAATCTAATTTGTCTTTTAATGATGCCAACGTCTTATAAGTGAATTTTGTAAGGGCAAAGGAAATTTGCAAATGTACAATTGGAGTCCAACAAGGACAGATAGAGGGATGTTTGAAGAATGATCATATCTTCTGAAAAATATAAAAATTTGGATAAATTACGCGTTTAATATCTAAATCATCAGTTTTAATCTATTTTTAATACTTAATTTTTTAATTTTTTCAAAGTCATACCTAAAGTTTAATTTATGTTTCATTTTAGTACACCCGTTCAAAATTTAACTTCAAATTTTGAAAAGAAATGAAAGTCCAGGTAGTAAAGTAGATCGAAAATGATATTTTAGGTACTTAACGCGATAGGTTTTTAACGGTGGATACTAAAATTAAACAAAAACTAAAAGTTAAGTATGATTTTAAAAAAAATTAAAATTTAAGATCTAAAACAGATTAAATTAATAATTCGTGTACTAAATATGTAACTTATCCTAAAATTTTATTTATGTTGAAAGAATGTTTGAAATTAGTGGTCAAATAAAGATAAATAGACCATTGAGGGTGTTTGGAATTGACCCACTCCTGCCCCCACCATTTCAATGATTGCTCCCTGCTTTATTATTAACCCCATGGCCAAGTGAGAGGATAGTTTTCTTAATTAACCATCATTAGGTTTAGCCATGTGAAGCCTAACAAGGCTAAGACATTTTCCTATTTCTCCTCTTATTATTTTTCAACAAATTAATATGCTAAATCCTAAATTAAGAGAAATTATTTCATCAACGCGGCTCATTATATCATTCATGATTTCAATGAATCATATCTATTAATTTTTAAATAAATTTTAAATAACTGCTCATTCTTTATTTACACGTAGAAAAAAGATGAAGGTTTACCTTTAAAATGAGATAAAAATGTTTATTGATTGAGACGACGTACGACGAGATAGGCCGGCTTCATTTAATAATTTTAGTGTCTAAATAATTTTTTGTTAAAAATAGATATTTAAAGTTTTATCCATTACATTCTTAGGTGTTTACTGTTAAAAAAAATATTAGGTGGCACTTGTCATGTCTAGATTATTTTAAAAATAAAATATTATTTATTTTTTAAAAAAAAATATAGACATGACACGTGTCACTTAACGATTTTTTTTAACGATAAACAATTAAAAATGTAATAGAAAAAAATTTAGACACTTATTTTTAACAAAAAAAATTATAGGCATTAAAAGTTAATTTTAAGTATAGTTTAGGCATCTAATTTTATATTAAGCCTTCTTTTTATGTCCAGAGTCTTTGCCTTCCCTTCAATGTCAGATTAGAATAGTAGCAAAGGACTCCACTATTTTGGTCGCCAAGCCCAAATAATAACAAAAATTTGAGGAAGAACCAACCTGTTGCTGGCTTCGGTTTAGTCTGAAAAGAACTCTTCCACTTCAGGTTGTCCATGTTTGGTTAACACACTACTGTCCACGTTAGGTAATTCCTTGGACACAACATTGTTATCCAAATAATCGATGTCCGTCCAATCCGGATCCTCTTCAAGATATTGTTGTTCTTTTTCATCACTCGCTTCAACACCATTGTTCCTGTCTGTAGGAGTTTGATCTTGACTTGATTCGAGATCCTTAGCCTCGCATATGCAGCTGTGCATTTTCATGGAACTCATCCCTACCGGGTAAAATTCGAGCCATGTTTCCGCTATTGTTTGTGACGAACACATCGCTTTCATCACAAACAATGTAGTCCAGTAAAATGGAGCCAACTCCTCCTCGGTGGCTATAGTCTCTTTTGAATGGAAATTTGGGAAGAGTGCTTTTAAAGGAGCCAATGTCTCTTCACCTCCAAATACTTCACCTGATGCCACATAAATGTGAACATCACTGCCAAAACCCAGTGCTCTCAGCATTAAACCAATTTCCTCTGGAGTCAGCGGGCATCTTCCATGTCTTCTCACCTTTTCAGGGTTGCTCACCTGCAGTTCGTACCAAATTAAGCATGTTTGAATGCTTCATAAGCTCTTTTCAGTCAACAATTTGCTTGGTCTTACGTTTAAAGTTTTCCATCTCTTCCGGATTGCACCGAGTTCCTCCCTTTCTCTTACTCCTCCCCCATAATAACATCCAGAAAATGCGAGCATATCCGGTTCGAACCTACGGCAAATGATATGTGCAGCCATTTCATCAGCCAAATTTCATTCAGTTACCGGTACTGAAAATATGACCGTAACTTTTAGTTAATATCAAATGGAAAATTAAATAAAACCCAATGATATTCATTATTAACATGTATGTGTATTCTGACAAACTTTTAGTTATATTTATGAAATATATATTGTATAATAAAAGTAAACCCTAAGCTGCAAATTGTAGAAACGAGGTCAGGCCCGACATAGCTGATAACATAGGATTACGGTGAACGCGTTGACCGGCGAAAACACTATAATAAGTCAATGGTGGCTACTTACTTCCTTGTCTGAAATCCATAAATACGACTTATAATCTGCACGATAACGATGATGGAATTAAAAAGGCTTTATAATTCAAGAAGAACGAATACGACTCATTCACATGTTTGTCGGTTTCCCATCAATCTCTTGTAATAATTCCAACGTACAAAAATCTTATTCAACCCAATTTCTCCCGATATCCAAATTTCGAATCATGGGTTTGTCTAAGCTGTTGATTCTAATTTCTGGGCTGCTCTTAGCTCTCACCGCCGTGGACCTCTCCGTAGCTCAAACCTTCAGGTGCAGCAGCTCCCCAAACTCATGCCGTGCCCTTGTCGGGTACACCACCGTCAACAACACCAACCTCGGCGCTATTCGAACGCTTTTCAACGTCACGAGCTTCCGGAGCCTGCTCGGAGCCAACGGCTTGCCTCCCTCCACACCGCCCAGCTCCGCCGTGGCCGCGCAACGGGTCATCAGGGTCCCCATCAATTGCGTTTGTTATAACGGGACCGGGACTTCCTACGGCGGCCCGACATACACAGTTCAACCGGATGACGGGCTCTACCACATAGCGGCCGAGGTGTTCTCGCGGCTAGTTTTGTACCCGGAAATCGCGGTCGCCAACAATATTTCGGACCCGAATAATATCGAAGTCGGGCAGCGCCTACGAATCCCGTTGCCTTGTAGCTGCGATGACGTTGAGGGGCAGAGAGTGGTGCATTACAGTCACGTGGTGAGGCCGAACAGTACTCTGGCGGAGATTGCTCGGGAGTTTGGGGCCGATGAGCAGACTTTGGGTCGGATTAATGGCATCACCGCCAAGAACGAGTTGAAAGCTGAGCAACCCATTGACGTTCCTCTCAGAGGTATGGTAATTTCGTTTTACCCGTACTATTTTGGAAATTTTTACGGTTTAACCTTCAATAATCGGTGGCGAGAATAACAGCACACAGTCTTGTCAAATCATTATGATGGACGGGATGACCCACCATTTGTTTTTCTTCTCCATTGGTGGTATCCAGTTGTAAATGTTTGATTTCTTGGTTTACTCCAAAAACATGAGACTAGGGTGATTATCGACCGAATAGATATTAAATTGGGTAATGTTCGACTCGTGTAACACTTACGTATATTAACAAAAATGATAGCAGTGTAATATGATTAATTTGTTATTTCTCAACAGCTTGTAACACGTCAGTAAGATCCGACTCATTGGACTCTCCTTTGCTTGCTGCTAATGGCACGTACGTCTTCACCGCCCACGGTTGCGTTAGATGCACATGTGAAGCTGCTAACAACTGGACGTAAGATTATATCTCTACACACCTTGTCAGTGGCTGCACACCTGGATCTATCCCCCATCTTATCATTTTAGAAATTTGTGTTTTTCCGTTTGCCAATTTCATTAACATCTGATGCTGGTTTTGGCCAGGTTACACTGTGAACCATCCGGAACTAATAGGCCATCCAGGTGGGAAAGATGCCCATCCATGTTATGCGAAGGCCTCCAAATTTTGTCCCCTGGCAATGTCAGCGTGTCGGGTTGCAGTCGATTGACATGTGCCTACGCCGGCTACAACAACTCGAGCATCTTCACTACCCTGGTTCAGGACCGGGATCCAACTTGTTTGAGCAACGATGTCTCGAGAATCGGTTCGAATTGGAATATTGTTTTCATGTTGATATTGTTTTGGTATTGAACCCTAAATATATATCTCAAAACCCAGAGAATTAGAAGACTGTATGTGTATAAACTCAATTAGCTAGTATTTATTAATTAAGGATAATTTACTAATAATTACCAATATATGTATATGATATATAATCAGATATACACAGTAATACAACAATTCGACCTTATTTCTCAGAAAAAATAAATTTCATTAGATTTTTTTTTATTAATATTGGGTTAGTACAATGTAGTATCTGTTTAAAGATAACTCTCAACCATTTGATATTGAACACTCACAACCCTGATATTTCTGATATTCGAACCCGAGACCTCAAGAAATAATAAAAATTCTTTTACTAATGAGGTCGCTCAGTTCGTGCAAATTCCATTAGATTCGATAAGGATAAAAAAGGTGAATAAGAATTAGTTTTAGAGAAAAAAATAGATAAAATATAGTTTGATTTCGGTCATTTTCATACACTACATTTTCTGGTTTGAAATCATGTTTTTCAATGCGTACTCCATTAGAACATATCGACAAATCATAAGCTGACACGCAGCTTGACTTAGGCATGAACATAAATTCATAATTGAGATTTTTTTCCCCAATATAAAGAGAGGATGGAACTTGAAATTACTCGTCAATTAATTGCTTCAAATTACTATTTTTTGTTATTAAATTGTTTAATTTAATTATTATACGGGTTAAAATTTGAATAAAACTGGAACTATAATGAAACTAATGCTTATTATTTTAAAACATGTAAAATTATTATTATTTATTTATGCTTCAATTTCAAATAAAAAAATTATTTGAAGAACCTTAAATTTTTTTAAATAAATTAAATTAACAAATTCAACACATATAATAGTGATTGTTTTATTTGAATATAAAGGATTCAAATTCAATAGGATCATTTTTTAAAAAAAAATTAGAGTTTAAACTGCGTCAAGTTTTATAAAGAATGAGATCAAATTGAATTATTATTTAGGATGAAAATCTTTCACCGTAGATAAAAATATAAGAAATAATATTATAATACTTTTCTCATTTCTCTCCATATTTTTTTTCATTTATCATTTTATTTTATCAAATAAAATATTTTTATTTATGTCAAATCAAATCAGATCGAGCATAAATTTTAATTCGAATTTAACTTAAATTAAATTTCTCTAAATTTAGATTAAATCAAGGTTAAAGTACACAAATGTTACCCTACTATATGATATTATTTTATTGAGTCCCTTGACTACAAAAATTATAAAATGGTCCTTTAACTACATGGAGTTGCTTTGTTGAGTCTTTCGACTATCAAAACTTATTAAATGATTACTTGACTATTCATTAAGTTTCGAACTCATCATTTTCTGTTAAAAAATTAACGGTCGTCTGAGTTGGACTTTAACACGCTGATTAAGATATGATATTTATTTTAGATTACAAGATTATATTTTGTCATGTCTCAGTCAAGACGAGTTTTGAATATAATGAATAGTCAGATGATCATTTTATAACTTTTAATAGTTAAGAGACTTAACATATCAACTCTATATGATCGGGGGACTATTTATGTAATTTACCCTAAAATCAAATAGCTGACGAAAGATATAACTATCAAATTTGGATAAATCAAAATACCCAAACAAATCCCTATAATAAAGGGATCCGCGAGATACTCAATTGTTTTTCTTTTGGGATAAAATAAGAGATATAATTGTTAGAAAAGTTGATCAAGTAACGTTACAACACAATCCGCCTGTATTGCGAAAAGTTGAGATTATTTCTTGAGTTATCGGGTTCGATCATTATGAATATTAAAATTCTGATCGAGAGTCATCTTTGATCAAATATAACTTTATATTGACCTCAAATTAATAATTTTTTTATAAATTACTTTTTTCATGATATTATTAAGAGGTTTAAATAGCAACATCATTATATATTTATACGTAATTATTTGACTGCAAATAAATGTGTGAAGAAAGTTGGTTCATGAAGACACATAATCAAAACATACACATGATTTTATGTCCGGGAATAAATTATTGCTCCGAGTGCTCTCCTTGTTCCATCACTGGACATAATCCAAGGGACCATAAGGTACGAACAGTTCAGCAAACAATGTCTTCCTCCTCCTGGGGCTCCAACCCGTGTCTTTGCATAGTTGGTCTTTATACCATACATGAAGGGCACCGATGCACTTTCTTTTGTAGTTTACGCCCGAGTATTGTTTCAGGTAATCTTCACATTCTTTCACGTCTTTCTCCATCTCTTCGATGCTCGGTAGCTTGAACGTGCCATCGAGGAGTTCGACCAGCCACCGGCATCTTATCTCCGATGTGTACAAATTTGCCACGCTTTTAGAGTATCCTATCACTGCTGCTAGTTGTGGTATCCTCGGCTGAATGCATTCCCTGTGTGTTCGAAACAACAAACTTTATTAGAGTTTAAAAAGGGTGAATTACATCACACGTCCCCGGATCATGTCCATATTCTAAATTTGTATATATATACTCGAGTCTCTAAAATATTAATATCTTATCAATAAGGTCTTTTAACTAATCCTTCCATCAGTTTGGCAGCTGCTTATGAATTTGGATTTGATATATACGGAGCATGCTCAAAACATTTATTTATTTTTATTAATTTATCCTCTTAAAATTCAGTAACACTGTATGTTTTTAGTAAGTTAAAACTGTACTATCCATACAATAGATACATGCGTTTAAAATTTTGAATTATATGTGCTAAACATATTTTAAATTATATTGAAATTTCCATTTATCACTCATACTAATGGTCTGGTTAACGGAAGGATTTGATTGATGTTTTGAGGAATAGGCTGTTATACTTTGAAGTGTGAAGATGAATCTACAATTTAACCTAGAGTTTGGGGATATCTAGTGTAATTAGCTCAATTGCAAACACGAAAATGTGTTTGAGCTTCTTCTCCCCTTGAACCCCGTTGCCAAAACGACGACGTCAGCCTATATAGGTGCAGTCTCGCCGTCGACCAGGACGCCGTAGTGACAGAAACTAAAACCCGATGCCTTCTTCAATTTGATTTCTCCATCTTCAACTTAGTCGTAGAAATTTTCCGGGACAGTCGAGATCATGCAAGAACTGATTTTATGGTGGAAACTGTGCGTTGGTACGGTGTCGTTTCTTCGCCAAACGAAGCTTCCTTTTTATGTCACTCTCCACAAATTTCGAACACGCACATCTCTGTCAAATAACCAAAAGTGAAAAAAAAAAAGAAAAAGAAAAGAAAAAAAAACTATACAAACGCCATGTCATTTGATTTGAAGTTTACCAGACGTGCAAGAACTGTGGCTAAGAGAGCAAGAAGAAGCCCTTCACGGGTGTAAGAAACGAGTAAGATACATATGTGCCAATGAAAACCCCCAGGGAAGATAATCAGGGAGATTCCAGTGTGCTGTCCTGTATAAAACTGTGCATGGATTTTCCATCCCGTTTGCTGTAGAGCACTCCATGGCCATGTCCAGTGCGGATTTCTGGAACCCAACAACGAGGACTCTTTTGCCTTTGATGAATTCCACCGCTTTTGCATCTTCCATGGCCGCGTAGTCCATGGAGTGTATCACCTTACCGTGAAATGCTTCGGGACCCTTGTTCGGAGGGAATTCTGGGATATTTGGCACACCGCTGAACCGCCCTACACAGATGATTACAAAGTCCGCCTGGTACATCTGCAGAAATGAAGTTAATTAGTACTCCATGGCATGCATGTATCACTACATATACATATATACCCGAGTTGGATGGTTATTCAAGTCTTCAACAATGAGCTTCCACTTCCCCATGGGGCTGAAGGGCTCACCGGTGCCACCTCATGAGCTCCAAGACTGGATCCCAGCAACTCTGGTGTTGAATTTGATGTGCTTTAGCAAGTCGAAGTGCTTTGCATAAGCCTCAACATAATCGAAGACCTTGTGTTTGTCGGGAAAATCTTCTGTCACCGACGGCGGCCACGGGAAATCGGAGAACTGATAAAGCGGCTTTGGGGTTTGGAGCTTCGTGGTCCGGAGAGTTTTGGTCCAAACACCTCCGATGGTGGATTGGGATTCGAAAACAATGGGGTTGAAACCTTTGCACAAGGCGTATTTGCAGACAAGGAGGCCACTTACACCGGCTCCGATGATGCCCACTTTCCTCTGCATTGCTGTTTTGTCTGATGATACTTCCATAGTTCTCTATCTTATCCATACCTCTTTATTTATACATCTCTGTATAAAAACGACCTTCTTAAGATGATCATGACGGTGATTCAAAAATTTGTTATTTTTGTTAAATAAAAAGATAAATTATTTCAATAATTTTTAACACATGACATGATATAATGCAGAAAATAGTTAATAAAACTGGTATAATAAAAAATTTAGTCTTTGACTTTCATATATTGTTATAACTTAGTCCTAGTTTAAAAAAAATTAATTTTGAAGATTTTCGTCACTATTTCTTTTATCGTCATCTTTCATTGTTGTGTCGGTCGACATTTTTTACTGACATCATTATCCACCATTGTTTTGCAATTGATAACTGCAACTGATCCAATATATATATATATATATATATATATATATATAAAAGGTCAAAAAGGCATATGAGATCCCTGAGATTTAAAAAAAATCAATGTTTCCCTCGTCCTATTCTTTTGAATCAATGTGGTCTTTTAACTCAAAAAAGAATTTAATCTGATTTTTTGATCAACATTTTCTTTCTTTGACCAACGATCATGTTAATTCCTGCTGTTATAAATTGGATAAATTACACCTTCATCACTCAACTATTTTCTTCTCTTCGACCTTGGTCACTAAATCCCAAAAATTTTCAATTTTGGAAACTCTAGAGACTTCAGGGACTAAGGTTATAGTTAACCCATTTTCATAATAGCGGGAATTAACGGAACCATTGGTCAACGACGGAAAACATTAATCAAATGGTCACATTAAGTTCTTTTTTGAGTTGGAGGGCCACATTAATCCAAAAAATAATATGAGGACGACATTGATTTTTTTTAAAAGTTCATAGACCTCGAGTATCTTTTTGTCTATAAAAAAATATACAATTTCAATCTATAAAAAAATATACAATTTTCAATCCCTATTGTTATATATATTCTATGCTCCGATTTTTCTCTTGCATTAGAAGAATCTAATAAAATCCCTATCCAAGACATTTAGTTCAAATATCAGTTTTTTTTTAGTAGATGGTTGCTGTTAAGATTCAATTAGAACTAAACTAATAAAATATGTAAATAACAAGGATTAAATATATAATTATATTATTTTTTAATTATTAAATTAGTACAACTATCATATGCTAACAATAAATGATTTGATTAATATTATTTAAATAATTAATGATTTAATTAATAAAATTAAAAAAACTAGTTAAAATTGAACCTATATAATTAAATAGTTGTTGGTGTAATTTAACCTTTAGGGGATGTTTGGATGGCAGAAAATATGATTATCGGAGGGGTAAAGTTTTTTTCAGGATGTAATGTCTGTTTGGATTGCAAAGATTCTCAATAGGGAATAGTAAATCAAATTCCCAATAATGTCATTTTGTGGGTATTTTACTGGGAACGTTATTCCCAAAATTTCTTAGGTATTTATCATTTCTCATGAGTTTAGATTAAAATGTCATCAAAACAAAAGAATTATTTCAAACATATCATTCTGATTGTTGAAATAAAAAATATTTTCTATGAAAGGTAAATTGTAAATTTATCCTTAAATTATTTTAGATTTGTAAAAAAGTCCACAACTAAAATTTTATATGAAGTTCAGAGGATAAAATTAAATTAAATCCTTTTATTAAACCTATTTATTTTTTAAATTTTGAAAAAAATATATAAATTCTATGAAAAAATAAAAATAATAAAATAATATATTTTATAGAATTATTATATAAATATTTTCATTTGAATATTTAAAATTCAACTGATTTAAGATAAAATATATCACATGAATAATTTGATAAAATATATATTTTAATAATATGTTATATTCTAATAATAAATAATGCGACGTTCTATTAACCAAACTGTAGCATTTTCCAAATTCCAACCAAGAGAAGGAAAGAGGAGAGCTCTCCCCAGAGGCTGAAGCGACAAATTTGAATCCTATATTCCAGTCACCTATGGCTCTCAATCTTCGCCAGAAACAAACAGGTATGTTTCTCTTTAGATCTCTCTTCATCCGTTTGCCCTAGTTTCATTTCTCTTTCTAATTTTGATGACTGTTAAAATTTTGTTAAATTTGATTGTTTTCTTTCGATCTAAATCTATAAATTTAGCTTTGTCTGGGTTTTCCTTTACTGGGTTGTTGGATTTGATCCGTCATTTTTTAGCTTTGATCGTATTGGGTGTTGTGGTCTTTATTTTTTTGGTTGCTTTTACAGAATGTATAATCCGAATGCTGAATCTGAACCAACCTGTGAATCCAACTGGAACTGCGAATGAAGAGGTTTACAAGATCTTGATTTATGACATTTTGTCAAAATATATTGTCCCCCTTGATCCATGTCAAGGATCTTCGAAAACACGGTGTTACCCTCTACTTCCTTATAGACAAGGATCGAAAACCTATCAATGATGTACCCGCTGTCTACTTTGTTCAGCCTAATCATTCTCAGAGAATTGTAGCCGATGCTTCACGTTCTCTCTATGATAGTTTTTATCTGAATTTCTCTTCATCCGTACCAAGGCCACTTTTGGAGGATCTTGCTTCTGGGACGTTGAAGTCAGATTCAATCCATAGGATTTCTAAGGTACACGATCAGTATTTGGAGTTTGTAACGTTGGAGGATAATTTGTTTTCACTGTCCCAGAAGTCTACTTATCTGCAACTGAATGATCCATCAGCTGGGGATAAAGAGATCGAAGATATTATAGAGAGGGTTGTTAGTGGATTATTTTACGTTTTGGCTACGCTTGCAGTGGTGCCCATTATAAGATGCCCACGTGGTGGACCAGCTGAGATGGTTGCTTCAGAATTGGATCAGAAGTTGAGGGATCATTTGTTGTCAAAGAACAATTTATTTTCTGAAGGTGGCAATTTTGCAAGCTCATTTCAGCGTCCAATTTTGTGTATCTTCGATAGGAATTTTGAGTTGTTGGCTGCAATACAACATGATTTAAGGTATCGCCCACTTGTACATGACATTCTTGGATTGAAGCTTAATAGGTTGACTCTGCCAGGAGAGAAAGGCGGAATGAAGTCGTACGAGTTGGATAGTTCAGATCCATTTTGGACGGAAAATGGCTCGTTGGAATTCCCTGAAGTTGCTGTTGAGATCGAGACTCAATTGAACACATATAAGAAAGATGTTGATGAGGTGAATAGAAGGACCGGTGGGAATGCAGGAACTGAGTTTGATGGGACAGACTTGCTTGGGAACACAAAGCATTTAATGAATGCAGAGAACTCTCTGCCTGAACTGACAGAGCGGAAGCAGATTATTGATAAACACACTAACATCGCAACAATGTCTTGGGTCAAATAAAGGAAAGATCTCTTGATGCTTATGTGAAGAAGGAAAATGATATGATGGACAGGAGGTATTACCCAAATGAGTTGCTGGCTGTACTTAAGGGAAAAGGTACCAAGATGGATAAGCTGCGATTTGCTATAACATATATTATCTCTTCCGAAACCATTAATCCAGCTGAAGCAGAAGCAGTGGAAGCAGCACTAATAGAATCTGAGGTTGATACAAGTGCATTTCAGTATGTGAAAAAGATCAAGTCGTTGAATGTTTCGTTGGCATCAGCAAATCCTGCTAGTAGAAATAACATTGTTGATTGGGCTGAAAGCTGTCACAGCGGGTGTGAAGAACCTCTTATCTAGTGATAGGCAATGGCTTTGATCAGGACTGTGGAAGCATTGATGGAGGGGAAGCCAAACCCAGAAATTGATTCTTATCTTGTGTTTGATCCCTGTGCCCCTAAGTCAAGCTCTGGCTCTAGTAGCAGCCATCTGAAAGGACCCTTTAAAGAAGCTATTGTTTTCACGTTTGGTGGTGGAAATTACGTGGAGTATGGCAGCTTGCAAAACCTTGCCCAGCATCAGCAACCTGTCAAGCATGTTATATATGGCACGACAGAAATTTTAACAGGAATGGAGTTCGTTGAGCAACTCTCGCAGTTGGGGAATAAGATGGGATTGGGCAATTCTGTTGCTATTTCTTCAGCGACCCATTAATGCAGCTTTGGATATAATTTGCAGAGCCTGCTATTCACTGGTCAAGTGCATAAAGGAGGCAGCAGCATCCAAAATGCAGATACCATAACATATTGCCAAGTAAATGCACAGATGTGAAGGTGAATATCAGTTGGGGCATGCATTTTTTTCTTGATAACTTGCTGGTTTTAATTTAGGCTTGAACATTTGATTATTTAGAAGAACTTACATAAATATAAATTTCTATTCCAGCAAGTGTCTGATGTTGGGGTGGTTGTTTACATCCTCTTTCTTATTTCTTTCCCCTTAGTTTACTAATAATATTCATTGTAGTTTGTAATTGTATTTTTGGAAAAATGTCATCATCGGGTTCATCCTTGTGATTAACTTGCTCATGGTTATGGGTAATAAATTTAACTATTGGAATGAATCAGCAGAATCTTATTCTTTTTCTTCTTCTTTCTGAATCCAGATTTGACTATGTTGAAAACAATTGCAGTAGACCCTTTTCATTCATCAATGATATAGATTATTCAATGCAGGTTCTTCAGGTTCGATATTAGAAAACTTAAGCCTGGCAACACAGGTTCGACAGACCTGGTCATATATTTTGATTGTCTCAATTAAATGATTCCGACCAAAATCCATTTTTTGGACACGACAGTGATTCGTATTCTTAGATAATGTCAGGGATCTGTAATGGCTGAGAAAAATTCAATTTCCCTTTTACGTTTGAAAGAGTAACAAGAGTATTTCAATAGTCTCCAATACACGGGATCAACATAACAAACACAAAGCATGAACATACAAAATGACCCCACCACTAGCAGTGTGTCAAAGATTTAGGAGAAACAGTGCTGGTTGCAATCGAGAATTCCGTGGTTTTTCCGATTAGATTACTTGACAAATTGTCAAACCATCATCTAGCAGTTGTGTCACGGATCTAGGAGAAACAGTGCTGGTTCAGTTTTTGCTGCATATCCAAACTTGTATGAACTATACTTTCTATGCACTCCCTTGAGTTTTCCTGATCCAGCCTTGTGATGGTAAGTAACCATCAACTTTGAACATTCCCTGTGGACAAACATCATAACTACCATGAGCATCCTTCATAATAAGAACTAAGGCTGGCCTAGCGATCTGAATATCATAAGAACTTACAGCAGCTGATCTTCTGTGTAGTTAGCATGCCACTCACTGGTCTTAGTCCAGGTCTTGAGCCGCCAAAGACTGCACTGTGCTGTGTAAATTGCAGCAGCAGCTAGCAGAGACGGCTGAAACTTGAGCATTTCATATTCAACCATGCACAGCTCGATAAGGAAGAACGAGAGAAATTCGAGCTGGTATGACACAGGGTAATATCTTATCAGTATATTTTTTTCTCTTAATGGTGAGGATTTACCGCTAGATAGTAATTCGTTAAAGAAAACTTTTTTATTATTAACCTTTTTATCAGATTGTGCTGCCTTGAGAAATCTCCTCATGAAAACATACGGAGTCGGCACAGACATGTTGAATTGTAAAGCGTTCACCATTAATTTCTCCTAAAAACACAGAAACAACTATTAAATATGTCTACACACAGAAAGCATGCATTGAGAACTGTTGTAGGAAATTACCATATCCAGAACATCTTTCTTCGTATAAGCTTTGTCCGATATCAGAACAAAATCCTCCACTATTGGGACAGAAACCTCCTCATATTTGCATGCTAACAACATAGCCGTCATGCCTACCAATTGAAGCTTCTTTCGGATTACGGTGCAACGCTCTAAGAATCTGTCTATGAGATTGATTGTAAGGAACAATGTTTCTTCCATAAGTTTGAATTTATAGTGAACCTGTTGAAAATGATGTTGTTAGTAATCTCTAGGCTTCAACTTTTAAAGCAACTAAGGTTAGGCCATACCTCAATAAGCCAATCAATGAGAATGGCCCTCATCTTCTCATTGATGTCAAATTGCCTGTCCATGTAATTTGGAGAGACACAGGAAGAAACCTGCAAAGTAACTCAAAAACCAATGACCCGCCATGAATTGAATCATAGCAAAACTTATAGCTAATAATAATGCATTCAAAAGCTTACCTCGGTCTTCTTGTAGTAAGCATAGATTTCATCTACATACTCAACAACTGCGAGTGGATTGTTCGAATCGCTGCAGTCGATATCAACTATAGACTCCTCCATATCTTCCATTTCAATGTCCTATGTAAGTTCGATAGAAAGGCGATGTTAAACCATTTCAACTGCTAATAAAATGCAGGTATTGAAACAAATACACATACCATTCCATCAGTTTCATATAATACCGCCTCTGTGTGCTTCACGAAACTAGGGACCGCATCCTCCCACTCTTCCGAAACATCAATTTCAATATCGTCTAGGCCACCAGGCTTCACTGTAGACTGAGTTTGGTTTTTTGTGTCCTACAAGAATTCGGTTCAACGATTTCTATTTAGCTTTCTACAGTTCAATGGAAAATCATAAAGCTTCCACAATACGTGGTCAGTATAGATAATACTTCTAGGAAGTGATCCTGGTTGATAACCCTTTCAACAGCCGAACTCCTAAACATACAAAAAGAAATAGAATGAATTCAGTATTTGAAGCAAAATTTACGCAAAGGAATGAAAAAGGACAGAGAAGTGGAAATAAAGATCAAATTAGACAGAACCTTGTAGTATTGTCTGTCTTTCTTCCAGAGCTGACTTCTTATTGCAAACTCCATCTTTCCTGTCTAGGACACTACTGATGAATATGAAACCTTAATTAACAAGGAAAAGAAGTATAACAATGGGAGTTTGGGATTATGGCAGTATCGAAAATACCCTCGAAATTCTCTTTTATTAGCCAAACCAGGGCGGTGAAGTGAAGCTCCTATAGTGTTCTGATTGATGCTACTCAGTGCCCTTCTTTGATTTTGCTCCATGCCCTTTACCATCTTGATTCCACCCATCATTTGCCCATCTTTCAGTTTCGAAAAGATACCGAAAAAAGGTTTATGAAAATCAAATAAATGAAGTATACAGCCGGTAACCAGAACTAATCATATAATAAAAGAATCACCTTGACCATTTGGTGCTGCAATGGAACCTGGATTGTTCTCCTTCGATCTTCTCATGCTTCCGTTTTCTTCAAGACTAAAACCCCACTTCCAAGAACCTTCAAGAGAACCAAGAACATCAAACAAACTGTAAACCGATTCGAAAACACCCATTTTATGCAAGAATTGATGGAAGAAAAAAAATATCTAAGCTTAACTTGATCTTAACATAGACCCAAAGAGAACTCGAGGAATCCAAAAACATCCGGTAAACCGAAATGTGAGCGATGATTTTTTTCTCAACTAAACGAACCTTTAAATTTGATGTTTCAAATTACACAAGAAAAGAGAAAGACGAGACAAACCCCAGTGATTAAGCCTTGTATCTCTCTACCTCCGTTGATGAAAAGGAAAGGGAAAAGAATTAAGGAAAGAGGCGAGTGGTGATGTTTTTGCATGTGATCCTTTCTTTTTATTTGAAAGCCCAACGGCTAGTAATTGGAGACCGTTGGATGGAAACAAAATTGAAAAAGAGGTGACGGTGATTCGTTGGACAATCAGTATTGTGCCACGTTGTCGAGCCTTTAAGATCGAGCCGTGGTTACGCTCTTCTCCACTTTAAGGAGCCGGTGAAGGTTCCTTTTAAAACACGTGGCACTCAATACTCTCTTTCCTTTTAAATAATTTTCAGATTTAGTATTTATTATCCGATCTAATCCGGTCATTCGGGTTTTGAAATTCATGCTTAATACTTTGCCCCACTCGGCCCATCATGTCTTTTAAAGTTTAGGCTAGTGAATCACTCTAGGAGTGCATGCCCTTATGATCTTCGTGAGCAACCCTTCGCATAGACATAAAACATATGTCATGAAATCTTATTGCATTGACATTGTTTTATTTAAACGTGTTTTTATTCTTTTTTTTGATACTTGAATTTACGTCGTTTTTTAAAGTTATAAGCAATAAATCAAATTTTAGTCTTGTAATTTTTTGAATATCAAATGAATTAAAGGTTCATTTACTATTTCATTAATTATAGATTTTTAACAAGGGACAATATTAGACATTTCGTACTCCATCCAAAGCCGAAAGAACAATTACTTGGTTCCTTACCCGAAATAACATATGCTAACTATCAAAAGATCGAACCTTTACATCACCTTCCTTTGAAACAATAAAGTCATGCCCTTATCCTCTATGAGGTACCAAAATTCGTACTTTTACCTTCCTAGACAGGGCTAACATTTCAATAACATTACATTTTCTGGAATTATGACTTTAAAGTTACACATTTCCCTTCCTAGACACAAAATCGACGTTTATTCCTAACCTCAATAAAGCCTAGAGGCATAAAGTAAAAGATGGCCGTGCGTACGAGATCAATTCGTACAATAAAGACAAGGTGGAGTGTTTCGGATCAAGTTTTTTCAAGAGAATTCGAATAATTGGGGCATACCAGGAGAAAAGTGAAGTAGAAATAAAAGGAACCATTGAAATAATTCTATCATGCATTGATTACATTGTTTTCGTGTAAATAGAAGTTAATCCTGAATACTTGTCTCCTGGAGATACCTCTTTTACAAGGACTTCCGTGTATGATACGATGAACGACTTTGTTTCATTTATCCCTTAAAAAAAGGAAAAAAAAAATATATCCCTTGTTGTCCTCGTTTGAGCCTATGATATTTTTTTCTTATTCAACTCTAACCAAGTATCACCCTCTAGGGAAAAAAAAGGAAAAAAAAAAGAATGAGAGAAGAGAGAGATTTTCACTCTAAAAAAAAGGAAAAAAAGTGAGAGAAGAATGAAATAGAAAGGCTAAAAAGATGTATTTATACCCGCTTTAAAGCGACGTCGTTTTGCCCTCTAGGAACAGCATGTTTTGGGCCTTTAGGGTAACTACTCTTTCTGTCATTTTTCGTTTGTAATTTATTATTTCAGTCATGAAACATGTGGGTTAATTATGTTTTTTAGTCCTCTAATGTTGCCATGCTTACATTTCCGTCACTGCTCCAATTAATATGGTTTGTTAGGGGTTATTTACGTTCCTAGCCTCCAAGTTTTACGCGTGTCACATTTTACTCCCTTTTATAATTTTATCGACCATTTGTATGTTTAGACATGGTAACTTTAATTTCTTTCAAATTAGCCCTAAACTAAAATGTATAATCACCTATTTGGACGTTGTATTAGTTATTTGTTCGTTTTTTATACTATTATCATTATGTACATATTTATCTCATATCTCTATGTAAATATATAATATATAATATTATATAAAATTATATTTGTGTTAATGATGCCTTTTTATCTACACATGCACTTGTATATCATCAAATTTGGTTTTTATGAGGATTGTTATATGTATATATTATTATTAAATATATCATTTATTTTATTATTTATGTATTTTTAAATATAAATGTTTATTTAATGCTTTAATATCTTTAAAGTTTTTTAATTATTCGACTAATTTATGGAAGACCTCCAAACACCTAGGGTGCCCTTCCGAGGGCTATTCAAATAAAATGTTTTTAATGTTATTATTTATAATTTTTATTCATTTTATTTTTTTTAATAATTGGTAGATATAGTATATGTGTTATTTTTACATAATTACCTTATCAAGTATAAATGTTTCCTTTTCACTTATTTTAGGTTTCTATTTATTTATTATTGTTTAATCATTTGTTCATCCTTGTTTAGTTTTATTATTTTATTTTGTTAATATTTCATTTCATCCACCTTGTATATGTCATCTATTATTGTATTCATGGGCCATGTATTCGATTTCTTGTTTTCTAAAACGATTAAAGACAATGTTATTTCGCATCGTGGGTTAATAAAATTAAGTCTAACATGACTGTATTTTAATTTTAGTTAATTCGCGTAGTAAGAGGAGATCAATTTTAAATAAAAAAGAGTGAATTAAATCTTTCATCGAGTCAAACATTTTAAAAATAAATTCACTCAATCTAAAAAATCATAGAAATGAAAAAGATCTTAACTTAAATTTAGAGTTCAAAATTGTAAAATTTCATCATTTCTGACAACATATAATAGAGAGGTACTAATCTTGGACACTGTGGGGTGCTTACCCTTCCTCACGCATAACCGACTCTCAAATCCTTAAAAATGAATCTCTGGTTAAACGCAAACCAATTTTCATCTTTAAATGATTTTTTAAATTCGTTTTTAAGATGTTTTCTGGGTATTCGACCTAACTAACTAAAAGGTCGATTGTGACTCTAATCTTTTTTAACTTAGTTCGATTTTAAAAACCGATATTCCTCAAAAATCATGCCGAACATCTATTTTTTTGACGTCCCGGGCGAAAAACGGTGATGGCAATACCTTTATCGATATTCTTGTCCAAATATTGATGCTGTGATGTGCTTGGTTTTCCTTTTACATATGTGATTAATTTTCCTGAGTGATGAGTGATCTTAGACTCAGAACTATTTATTGCTTTGGAATGTGCTTAATCTGAGCTCTACTGGTTATTTATGGAAAGCGGTATGTATTAGACTATGTTGCACGGATATAGATACGGGATGGATACGGGACGGGAATAGGGACGGGGACGGAAAACGGTAATTTTAAAAATTATAGGGTACGGAGATGGTAAGGGTACGACATATAAAATAATTTTAAAATTATAAATATATATAAAAAATCATAAATAATATCAAAATATCAAGACTCAAACAACAATATTAAATTTATAACAGTAAAATCCATAAACAAACAACAATATTAAAATGTCAAATTTCAATATTCAAACCATAATATTAATTCTAAAATAATAAAATACATAATAAAAATCATAATATTAAAGTGTCAAATCTTAAGACTCAAACCATAATATTAAATCTAAAAAAATATTAAACTCAAATCAAATATTATTAACAACTTTAAAATTAACTGGCTCTCTAAATTCGACTCATCAAACAAGAGTTTGACAAACTACTCAACATCTCCCAATAATCAAAAGCATCTCCACAATCCAATAAGTGGCCTCCTCTTCCAATTCAAGATAACCCCTTTTGTTTTTCAAAAATCAAAATCCCCCTTTTTTTTCTTCCTCTATTTTCCTCATCTTCCCAAAATTCGAATCTTTCATCCCAAAGTTTCAATCTTTCATCAATGGCTTCCCTTCAGCAAACTTCAATCGTCATTCAATCAAAGCTCCTCCCTTCTTCCCAGCTCACCAGAGCTCTTCCTTCCCTCAACCTTTCCTTCTCAGCCACTTTCCCTTCCCTCAGACTTTCCGCCTCTCGCCCCCTCAACGACGGTGCCAGAATGTTGGCCACAACGGCTTCCAGCTACGCTACTGCTTTAGCCGAATTGGTAACAACCAGAGTGCTGTTGGGGTGAACCATAGGCAGCCCGTAAATGACCCAAACCATGCAGTTTATTAAGGTTGCTAGATACGGGGCTGGCGAGAACTGCTCCACTGAATTTTTCTTCCAAATTTGAGCAAAAGTTGGCCTGCAATCAAAAGTAGATTAAAGATAATGTAATCAACTAAACACAGGGAAACAAAAGTCAGGCGAAGCTTACACAGGAGACAAGAAGAGGAAGAGTGATATAACGTTCCCTGTGAAGAAGTAGAACAAAACCCACATTAGTTTACTTTTCAGGCGGGTTTCAAGGAAACATCGTTGTATGGTAAACCAACATACCTGTAACCCCAACTACATTACGGATAGTGTTGAGTAGGTGAGAAACCATGGCTGTAAGCTGTGTAAAGCAATGAATGAAACGAGTAGGGGAAGGGGGAGGAAGAAAATCAGGGTGCAAAAGGGATCGTTTATATGGAGATTTTCAACTTATAGAACTTATATACAAAGGGGGATGAATGAGTTGAGAGGGCCGGTGTTGAATGCGGTGTGGGGCTAACGCATCTGAGCATGGATTTGGCAAGAATCTAAAGACGTAGCCAAGTCAAACAACAGCCTCGACACCACCTCCTCCGACGTCGAAAAAATCGAAAATGCCGTCCCCGAAACATCCCCAAGACTCGGTGAAACGTCCCCGGCGTCGTTCAGCCGTACCCTGCCACCTTGGCACGTCCCGGTATCGGGTACGTGAAACGGCACAAGTTTGCCGTCCCCGTGCTCCCTTGGTATTAGATTCTGCAGAAGTTATATTTAGTCATTCAGATTGCAGAAGTTTTATTTAGTTATTAGTTTTAATTTGGATTCTTTTATTATGTCCGCGGTCTTCTTACA